TACCATTTGCAACACACTGCATTTATGGGACACTTTACATCACACCTCATTTAGTCCTCAGAGCAACCTTGTTAAGGGAGGAGTTCCACAGTCCCTGTTTTAGAGGAATAGAAGCTTAGACTTCAGTAAAAGGATTTAAACTCACGACTTCCTGACACTACAGCCTACCTCTCCTACGTACCTTGCACTAAGTCTTCATCTCAACTTTCACATCTTAGGTCTTTGTCCTTTTCCTGTAGTTTGTCCCTGTCTTCATGGCATTAGTTTGGCTCTTTTTTTTTTTTTTTTGAGACAGAGTCTCACTCTGTTGTCCAGGCTGGACAGTGTAGAGGCACAATCTCAGCTCGCTGCAACCTCTGCCTCTGGGGTTCAAGTGATTCTCCTGCCTCAGCTTCCCGAGCAGCTGGGATTACAGGCGTGTACCACCATGCCTGGCTAATTTTTGTATTTTTAGTAGAGGTGGGGTTTCCCCATGTTGGCCAGGCTGGTCTTGAACTCCTGATCTCAAGCGATCCGCCTGCCTCAGCCTTCCAAAGTGCTGGGATTACAGGTGTGAGCCACTGCACCCGGCCTGAACATTAGCTGGCTTTTTATTTGCAAACCCTGTAGACTACTTTTCTTACCCTGGCTGCATATTAGAATCACCCAAGAAATTTAAAAATCACCTGATGTTCATGCCACATCCCAGACAAATTAAATCTGAATCTCCAGGGTGGGGCCCAGGAGCCGGTATTAAAATCAGTGATTTCATTATGCAACTAAGGTTAAGATCATTCCTTTAATGGTACTCACACATGCCATGACACGCCTGCTCTGCACCCTCGATGACATACCTTTTCCATTCCCAACCCTGGGTAAGGCATCCACCTTTCTCCCCTACTGGAATTTTTCTGGACTAAATTGGTAACTGTGCTGATTTCTTCTCTATTAGTTTATGTCCTTCAGCTTGATTGGAATGGCTCAGCAACTCCATGTGAGCAGCATGAGGTAGGTATCCTGCTTTGGGCCTGGCCCTGTGCCCGAGGCACAGACGCAGATTTCTCCAGCTTTGGAGAACCATGATCTGGAAGGATATCAACACCCAGGCACTCCCTATTCTTGGATAGGGAGTTTCTAAACAAAGGATTTTCTAGCATTTATAAAGAAAAGAAGAGGCTGGGCGTGGTGGCTCATGCCTGTAATCCCAGCACTTTGGGAGGCATGGGAGGCACTTTGGGAGGCAGGAGAGTCTCTTGAACCCGGGAGGCGGAGGTTGCAGTGAACTAAAATCGCACCACGGCACTCCAGCCTGGGCAAGAGAGTGAGACTCAGTCTCAAAAAAATAAAATAAATAAAATAAATTTAAAAGGAAAGAGGAGAAACAGATTATCCAATAAGTATAACTCGAACGGAAGTTTGAGATCAGCTGGAAAGTGCAGGGCCTAGTGATAGGTATATTTGAAGAGAGGAAATAACGATTAACCTTGGGGAAAATAAATCTGTATGAAAAAAAGGAATGTAAGTATAGTCTAGTAGCTCAGTATGAGTAACATTTATGCTGGGCACCATAGCTCATGCCTGTAGTCCTAGCTGCTCAGAGGCAGAGGCAGGAAGATCACTTCAGCCCAAGAGTTTGAGGCTGCAGTGAGCTATGATCATGGCACTGTGCTAAGCCTGGGTGACAGAGTGAGATCCCAGCTCTAAATAAGTTAAGTAATAACATTATGTAAATGTAATGTCAAAATAATAAAAACCAATATAACCAAACATTAGGATGAATGAATTATTATTATTATTTTAAGACAGAGTCTCGCTTTGTTGGTCAGGCTGGAGTGCAGTGGAAAGATCTTGGCTCACTGCAACCTCTGCCTCCTGGGTTCAAGCAATTCTCCTGCCTCAGCCTCCCAAGTAGCTGGGATTACAGGCATGTTGTACCACGTCTGTCTAATTTTGTATTTTTAGTAGAGACAGGGTTTCTCCATGTTGGTCAGGCTGGTCTCGAACTCTCAATCTCAGGTGATCCGCCCGCCTCGGCCTCCCAAAGTGCTGGGATTACAGGCATGAGCCACTGCGCCTTGCCCCCCGCTAACATTTTCTTTAAAAAAATTTTTTTTCAGGCCGGGCGCGGTGGCTCAAGCCTGTAATCCCAGCACTTTGGGAGGCCAAGGCGGGTGGATCACGAGGTCAAGAGATCGAGACCATCCTGGTCAACATGGTGAAACCCCGTCTCTACTAAAAATACAAAAAATTAGCTGGGCATGGTGGCGCATGCCTGTAATCCCAGCGACTCAGGAGGCTGGGGCAGGAGAATTGCCTGAACCCAGGAGGTGGAGGTTGCGGTGAGCCGAGATCGTGCCATTGCACTCCAGCCTGGGTAACAAGAGCGAAACTCCGTCTCAAAAAAAAAAAAAAAAAAAAATTTTTTTTCATTGGCGGGGTCTTGCTTTATTGTCCAGGCTGGTCTCAAACTCTTGGCCTCAAGCAATCTTCCCACCTAGGCTTCCAAAAGCACTGGGATTATAGGTGTGAGCCACTGCACCTGGCCCCGTGACTCTTTTAAATATCACATATTATAAAATAAAAAGGCCAACTAACATAATTAACACAAGAAAACATTTTGAAACCAAATGTCATTTTTCTTCTTAAAATATAGAAGTAGGAAAAATAAGGAACTCTTTCAATAGCATGCTACCAGTGGCAATCTGGAAGGGAGTTTTAAAATTGAGTTAATGTTACACTTTTAAATTGTGTCTTCTTATTTCTTTGTGAGAAAGACAGAGTGGAACAACTATATCGATGTGTAAAAACATCAATAATGCCTGTTTTCTGGTCAGTTACCATTTGAAGTGGGATCCTCCTAAGGTCTTTGTAATTCAAGGTCCTGGGCTCCGCATTGAAGAGCTGCTCTGTACTGCCTCTAGGGGTCAGCATAACGTGAAGGACAAGCAAGCACAGCCACCCATTTCAGAAAGCAAAGGATTTGTAGGGTGGAGGAAGGAATGCAGGTGACTATGTGGGTTTCCACTCAAAGTGAGGATGAGGAGTTGAGGGGAAGGGATTCGAGGCCCAGTCCACACAGTGTTTTGGTTTGTATTCAATAGAAACTCAGGGATCCAAATAATTTAATAATATTTGGCCTATCACATAAACTCCCTTGAAATTAGTGACAGGATTTTCTTTTCTTTTTTTAAATTTTAACTTAAAGACCAGTGTGATGGTAAAGACAGGATTTTCATGATTCCCCTCATACATGCTGAAAGCCACTTACTTTTTACATGTCTGTTTTGACGCTTTGGACTTAGACCACAGAAATGTTAAACACCACAAACTGGTTCTCCCAAAGGTCATGGTTTCTTTCTTTTTTTTTTTTTTTTCTAATTTCTATTTTTTATTATTAAAAATAAATTTTTAATTTATTTTGTAGAGACGGAGCCTCACATCACGTTGCCCAGACTGGTCTCAAACTCCTGGGCTCAAGCAATTCTCCTGCCTTGGCCTTCCAAAGTGTTGGGATTATAGGTGTGAGCCACTGTGCCCAGCCATGTCATGGTTTTTCAATTTGAGCTTCCTATATATTTTTTATTTATTTTGAGACAGGGTCTCACTCTGCTGCCTAGGCAGGAATGCAGTGGCACAATTGTGGCTCATTGTAACCGCCAGCTCTTGGGCCCAACTCTTGGGCTTGGGCTCAGGCCATCCTCCTGCTTCACTCTCTTGAGTAGCTAGGACTACAGGCACATGCCACCATGCCCAGCTAACTTTTTTATTTTAAGTTTTTGTAGAGATTGGGGACTTGCTATGGCCTAGGCTGGTCTTGAATTGCTGGCCTCAAGTGATCCTCCTGCTTCAGCCTCCCAAAGTGCTGGGACTACAGGTGTGAGCCACTACACCTGGCCCAAACTTCTTATTTTAAGGCTAGAATGATGAGTGGCTGGCCGGCTCTCTCTCTAAGGTAGTAAATGGTGGGCTTTATTCTTTATACTTATAAACTATTTTATTTTATTTTATTTTTTATTTTTGAGACAGAGTGTCACTCTGTCACCTAGGTTGGAGTGCAGTGGAGCAGTATTGGCTCACTGCAACCTCTGCCTCCCAGGTTCAAGTGATTCTCCTGCCTCAGCCTCCTGAATAGCTGGGATTACGGGTACCCACCACCACGGCCAGCTAATTTTTGTATTTTTAGTAGAGACAGGGTTTCTATGTTGAGACCATGTTGTCCAGGCTGGTCTCAAACTCCTGACCTCAGGTGATCTGCCTGCCTCGGCCTCCCAAAGTGCTGGGATTACAGGCATGAGCCACGGTGCCCAGCCACCTATAAACCATTTTATACCACCTCTGCTGAAGTGTGGTGAGCATAGATTTCTGGGGAAACTCATTAATGAAACTCACCGCCAGTAACCTGCCTCTCAGTCACTGCATGGTGTCAATCTCAGACATTTGAAAGGCTAAAATATAAGCAGGGGTAATTAATAGCACACTTTGCTTTTATATCCTGGTATATTTCCTGTGCCTCTGAACAATAGTGCTGGGGACTACAGCTGATAAACAATTGTCTGCCTTGGTTGGTGACTACTATGCAGTACGAATTTAACAGCGTTGGCAATCTATGCTACAGGAAAAGGAGCATTGTATTTCTCCCCTTCCTTTAAGAGGAAAAGAAGAAACAGCACTTGGGCAGTTCAGTAACAGTCTTTGGGCATAAGAAAAGAAATCATTTCTTATTCCTTACAAACTCTGATTTACAAAAGAACACTGGAAGCTAAAAGCTGTGTTGATTTATCATGTGAAGCAGAGAGTAATTTTTCTCCCCTTGTTAAGCTTTCATATAATCATGCTCACTGCCTGCATGGGTGGCATTAAAGAATTTCTGAATAAAAATAATAATTTCTTGCTTTCAACCTTCATAATTCACATCAGCAAGCACCCTGCTGGGTGGCGATGCCTACTGCTAGTGACGCTCAATCTTTTTTGCACGCCACTTATCTGTCTCATGCAGCTGCGTGCTCCACTGATCGAAATACCTGCAGGATAATGCGCCCGTAGGCGTTCTTCAGCAGATTAACCACATCCGCGTGAGACAGCCCATCCAAAGGTTGCCCATTAATGCTGACAATCCGATCTCCAACCTGGAAGTACAAAAGTGACAGAAAATCACTATCATTAGGAAAAATTAAATTTGAGAAGAATGCTTAAAATTCTTTGCAAGTCATATTTCCCATTTGTGGCTATTGTGAGGATTCTGCGTTACGACCGTGTATGCGTGTTTAATAAGCATGAGGAATTTTTTTTTGGCTTTCCCTAAATACGGACAAATCAGAGCTACAAGAAGGGGGCCAGATTTGATTATTAAAAGGCACAGTAGGCTACTTTTGTATTTTGGTAATGGTGGTGCTTCGTACACCCATCTGCCGGTAATAGCAGGGTGTACACATTAACTGTTCAATAAAGTTCTAATAAGGAAGCCAAATATTTTCTGCTTTATTTTTCTACTGAAGTAAAGACTAAGGGACAAGAAGGGGGAAAATCATAAAAATGGTGATTTTTTTTTTTTGATTGAGGGAAGACTCTAAGGTCAAATATCTCTCAGTTCAGAGCTGATTTTGGGTGGAATGAGGCGCTTAAAAGGGTAGAGGAGGGTTTGCAAAGGAGCTACAATGTCTTCTTTTATTGAGAAGCTTTGATACAAATAATAATATTTGCATGTGCCCAGGGACCTAATGAATTTTTTTCTTTTTTTTTTTGAGATGGAGCCAGGCTGGGCACGGTGGCTCACGTCTGTAATCCCAGCACTTTGGGAGGCCCAGGAAGGTGGATCATGAGGTCAAGAGATTGAGACCATCCTGGCCAACATGATGAAACCCCATCTCTACTAAAAAAATACAAAAATTAGCTGGGCGTGGTGGCGCACACCTGTAGTCCCAGCTACTTGGGAGGCTGAGACAGGAGAATTGCTTGAACCTGGGAGGCGGAGGTTGCAGTGAGCCGGGCTTGCACCACTGCACTCCAGCCTGACACCTGGCGACAGAGCAAGACTCTGTCTCAAAAAAAAAAAAAAAAAGGCATTAAACATGTACAGTCTGTTAAAAAAAAAAGAGACGGAGTCTTGCTCTGTTGCCAGGCTGGAGTGCAGTGGCACAATCTCCGCTCACTGTAACCTCCAACTCCCTAATTCAGGCTATTCCCCTGCCTCAGCCTCCTGAGTAGCTGGGACTATAGGCGCTCACCACCACACCCGGCTAATTTTCTGTATTTTAGTAGAGACGGGGTTTCACCATGGCCAGGATGGTTTCAATCTCCTGACCTCATGATCTGCCCACCTTGGCCTCCCACAGTGCTGGGATTACAGGTATGAGCCACCACGCCCTGCCCTAGTAAAGGTATAAAGTGTCTCTAATGCATCTTGCGTTCACGTGGGTCTCTGATGGCTATTGGAATTCCAACTTTAAACAAGGTGCCCAGGCTTACAGCTTCCTCTCCCACCCCACCACGTGCTATTAGCCCTTCAATCAGTTCTCTCTTGCTTACTTTAAGCTTCTGTGTCCGTGCAGCCACTCCGCTGGCCTGAATCATGGCAATAAATATAGGGATATCTCCTAACGGACTTCCTCTTCCTCCAGCAATACTGATTCCAAGGGCATCACTGAGCTCCTAAAAAAGAAAGAAAACATAATGCTTATATATTTAACAAAGAGCCACAAACGGACCTACCCCAGATAGCTGTTGAACAAAATCCCTCCATGAGGTAGGAGGCCAGGATAACACAGGAGTTAAGTGTGGAGCCTTTGGAGTAGAAAGACCTGTTTCAGCTCTAGCTCTTTTTTTTTTTCTGAAACGGAGTTTCGCTCTTGTTGTCCAGGCTGGAGTGCAATAGTGCGATCCTGGGTCACTGCAACCTCTGCCTCCCAGGTTCAAGTGATTCTTTTGCCTCAAATTCCTCAGTAGCTGGGATTACAGGTGCACGCCAGCATGCCTGGGTAATTTTTTTGTATTTTTAGTAGAGATAGGGTTTTACCATGTTGGCCAGGTTGGTCTCGAACTCCTGACCTCAGGTGATCCATCTGCCTCAGTCTCCATGCTGGGATCATAGGCATAAGCCACCCCTGCCTGGCCTCAGCTCTAGCTCTTAATTAGCTGTGGTGTCTTGGGGGAAGTTTCTTAACCTTATGAAAGTTGTCAGAATCTAAATGGAGTCACTTGTGTTAAAAAACAAACAGGCCAGGCAAGGTGGGTCACACCTGTAATCCCAGCACTTTGGAAGGCCAAGGTGAGCGGATCATGAGGTCAGCAGTTTGAGACCAGCCTGACCAACGTGGTGAAACCCATCTCTACTAAAAATACAAATATTAGCTGGGCGTGGTGGTGCATGCCTGTAATCCCAGCTACTCAGGAGGTTGAGGCAGGAGAGTTGCTTGCACCTGGGAGGCGGCGGTTGCAGTGAGCTGAGATCTCATCCCTGCACTCCAGCCTGGGCGACAGAATGACTCCGTCTTAAGCAAACAAACAAACAAAAACAAACAAACCAACCTAAAACCCTCATAAATAGAGCCAGGGAAGACTATGAAGAAAGCGTTCTCAGGCTTGTATGCCTGATCACAAAAATTATCACAAAAGACTGCAAAAACTTTGCAGGAGGGACATTACAGCCTTAACATAAAAAAACACTTCTACAAGAGCATCTGTCCAGCAAATGCCTGTCCAGCCTTGGGCTGTGTGTCATCCCTGTTATGAATCTTTGTAGCCAAGGATAATTATCTCAAAACAATTATATATTCTTCATTTTGTCCTCTAAAACTTATTTTCCTTACCCCTCTGAATATGCACATAGTCTACTAGGGCCTGTGTATTCCCATTGCAATGCCCTATTCCTGAATAAGCAGCATTTTCTTTTAGAGAGCCTCCCTGTTTGTTATTTAGGTTGAATACCTCTTTAAGCCTCCATCTCTATGTATAAAATGAGAAGAATACTACATACCTGACATTGTTGGTCTGAGTGTTAAATGAGATGTTATGGCACAGTCATGGCCTACAGAAGAGGCTCAATAAAAGGCAAGAGCAGAAGTAAATTAAAACACACACACACACACACCCTATGCGCTGCTTAGTTTAGTGGCCAATTCTGATGCAGACTTGGCAAGTATGTTCTCATATGGTGTTTATGATTAAACTGCCACACATACTATGCTCTTCTGGGTGTGAACAAACACATTTGGCTTTAAAAGACTGCATAACAAAGGATCTGTGAGGACACCCACTGTAGTGACAACAGTTTGAAGAGACACATAAAATGTGGCTGAAAATGTTCCCCAAGACGGACTCTGGTGAAGAGACCTGGCTCTAGTCCAGTTTTTTCCCACACTAGTATCATAGGGTTAATATTATTTAAATCACTAAAAGAACAAATGACAAGTCCCAGTTCTGGCATGGCAGCACAGGCACGTGACAGCGTATCTCTCCTGCTGGTTACCATCAAGATGTCTCGTCAAAATATAAAAAACAACTACCTGTGGTCTTTTTTTTTTTTTTTTTTTTTTT